CTCATAAAATCTAAATAGCATAAAATTCATAAGCACATACTGTAAATTCATAATCACATATAGGAAAATTCATAATCACATAAAGGAAAATTCATAATCACATAAAGGAAGATTCATAATCTGAGACATAATTCTCGTAAACTCTAAATAGCATAAAATTCATAAGTACATACTGTAAATTCATAATCACATAGAGGAAAATTCATAATCACATAAAGGAAAGTTCATAAACTGGTAAAAAAAAATTCATAATCTGACACATAATTCACAGTCTAATATCATAAGATTCGTAAGTACATACTGTAAGTTCATAATGACATAAAGGAAAATCCATAATGACACAAAGGAAAATGCATAATCACATGAATGAAAATTCATAAACTGACACATAGTATTTTGCATAGTATTCATTACAACACTGCTAAACATATGAAGTTCTATTAACACAATCTCAATCTATAGCTACATCGTGGTCTACATTCTTATTAAAATGAACAAACTGTGAACCCCCAGTGCTTGGATGTACAAGATATCCATCACGAGCAATCTCTGAAATATTTTCCAAGACCAATGATTGGACAGAGCCCTTTGTAACTGAAGCAAGCTTGTTTGCAGCACTCTTTCTCCCCCTTGCTGCATTGTACTTCTTCTCAATAACACTACTACTTCTTTTATTTCTCACACCTTTACTCCTCCGACTTGAAGGGTCTTGGACAATACCACTTGACGAAGACACAGCACCCTCCTCAGTATTCACATCCCCAATCTCAACTTCAATGTTTTTCCTTGCATTCTCAACAGCTTCATCACAGAATTGTCTAGCAACACTGTTATCTTGGCTACAAACAATAAGCCTTTGAAATTTCCTACTAATCTCAACAGCCCAAATTGAAGAAGGGACACCACCATTATAAAACACGGATGCAATGTCCACATTTCTACCCTCAACAACCTTTTTAGTCCATCTTTTTAGAATGTATTTATCGGGAATACTGGAAACACAGTGCACATGAAGTATACGTAAGCAGTGGCAGCAAAGTATTCCCAATTCTGAAAACAGCTTGCAACTACAGCATATATCCAAATTGATTGGCTTGAAAGTTACTTCATGCCTTATGATATCTATGTCTGGTCGCCACACGTGATACTTGCACTTACAACCATCATTCAACACCATTTCTTGATAACAAGAGCTACCTTTCATAAATTGTTCCTCGAACAAAAAATATATCTCAATTGTATAAACCTCTCTAGCATGTGAAAGGAGTTTCACATGATCCATCATCATGGAGGGTACTCCTTGAGAACACCGGAAATCCTCACCATTTTCCTTACTTCTCCATTCAGAAATAACACTCACAAAGGATGAATAAAAATCATATAAACCAGCAGTCTTAGACAACCTCTTAGAAATTGAATGATTTGTGCTTTCACTCCTTTGCGAAGATAAAATACCCCCGGAGAAATAATCCTTGTTGAACGCTGGACACCACTTCTCCCTACAGTCATAAAGCTTCTCTAGCCATGTATTCTTATGACAATTATATTTTGTAACCATCCTGAAAAAAGTTAAAACACATGTTTACTAATCATATTCTGAAAATTCATAATCTCATATTAGAAAGTTCATAATCATATAACAGAAAATACATAATGACATAACAGAAAATACATAATTGTATACTTGCATTCATAATCTCATATTACACAGTTCATAAATCATATAACAGAAAATACATAATGACATAACATAAAATCCAGAATTGTATAACTGTGAATTCATAATCTCATATTAGAAAATTCATAAATCATATAACAGAAAATACATAATGACATACCAGAAAATACATAATGACATAACACAAAATTCAGAATTATATAATGTAAATTCATAATAACATACCTTGTCCAGTAAACTTCAAACTCCGCTTCAGTCTCGGTGTATTTCAACACACAATTGAACATATCCAGAAAATCCTTATGATTCCTTAATGCCTTGATATGCTTCTTCGAATTCTCACTAATATGCCATATGCAAAGACGGTGGCGTGATATAGGAAACACCATGGAAATGCCAGCAGCCATAGCTGAACATTGGTCCGTCATGATAGTCTGTGGACACTTGCCATCCATGGATCTTAAAAACGCTCTAAACAACCACGCAAATGACTCTATCCTCTCATTCATCAAAAAACCACATCCAAACATTAGATTCATGCAATGATGGTTCATCCCTACAAAAGGACCACAAATCATATCATATTTGTTAGTGCGATATGTTGTGTCATGCACTAGCAGATCACCAAACACCTCATAATCCCTTCTCATTTGACCATCCCTCCAAAAAAAACTACACAATCTTCCATCCAAATCAACTTCGAAATCAAAAAAGAAATCAGCCTCATTAGATTGCCTCCTCCTGAATATTTCAATCAAAGAATTGGAATCAGTTCCATCCAAACACTTCAAACTCACAGAAGCCATCGAATTGTAAGCATCGCGGTTGGTAAAGCCAACCAATGGAGAACCCCCTGACTGATGTTTCAAAAACCTCATACCATCCGCCAATGCAACACCACTATTCTTCATGTCTTTTAAATATTCAAGCTGATTGTTTCCCACTCTTCTATGCGACCGGAGCAGATGACTCTTGCCAAATGAACATAACTCATGATTGTGCTCTTTCAAATGTTTTGTAACTGTCCACATCCCATCACCCCCCACATCAAACTGAACAAATGCACCACAGCCAGTCCTCATATCAATCTTTGAATAAAGCTTAACACCACTGTTTGGTTTCTGCTTATACCCAGCCTTAGCACAGAAGAACCTCTTCATCTGAATTGACTTAGTAGATGCCTTATAACGTTGTTGGCCTTTCCTCACACTAAAACCAACTCTGTATGCATATCCATTATATAACTCAAAAGCTTCGTCAACATTGCTTACTACAACACCAACCAAGTCTTCATCAACTGCAATTGCAACAAAAATATAACCACACCTATACCAACTACTAAAATATGCATTTGCAGTTCATTACAGATTTGATAGAAATATATTCTTCATTTACGTAGAGGGGGTACGGGGAATGCCGAATAAATCCAGCCATGCTCTACATAAGAAGAACATATTCTCCATCCATAACAGATACACATAAACTCATAACATAAAATTCATAATCTCATATAAAAAATTCATAATCTCATATAGAAAATTCATAATAACATAATGGAAAATTCATAACCTCAAAATGTAAATTCATAACAGAGTATTAATACCAATCACAACATTCAATTTGCATATAATCACCATGAATCAGTACCTACACCTATCAGAAACAACATTCATGATACACAAAACTAATAAAAAGAACCTGGACTTGAAGACGAGCCATCAATGTCAATGTTTAAGTCTGCTTGCTCATTGCTTATTGAATCACCAACAAAGTCTTCATTCACTGAGTATATGCAAACAGTGTAACATACCAGTTAATATGTTATGAACATAGTACTATTACATTATGAATATTCATATCACATGCATGAACAGAGTATCAAAATTCATAATTGCGTAACAGAAAATACATAATCTCATATTGTAAAATTCATAACAGAGACATGGTACTAATACACAATTACAACATTATGAACATTCAAACTGCATATATACTGAACAAATACCAATAAAAATAACTAAACATTCAACAATTCATGATCTCATAAATCAAACGAAATCAAACGCATAAAATCGAACGCAACCTGGAATCGCAGAAATCATATCGGTGGAATCTTCTCCTCGAACCGTCGTCTCCTCCATCGCGAATAGGAAAGAAACGCGAATGTCGGATCACAACTGCCTTCAGAGAATTGCGAATAGGAAAGAATCAAACGCAAAGAGTTGTCGGATCAGAATTGCCTTCCTAACGCCGTTAATAGAACAGTGTTTTTTTTTTTTTTTTAAGACGCCAAAAACGACGTCATTTGGAAGCGTGTTCACCAAGCATGGTGAACACGTTTCCATGGCATAATTTGCGCTATCTAACCAATTGTTATACCATGGACCATGATCCATCTTACATTGTAGACCTTGATCCGAAAATTATGTCGGTAGTTGACATTTTTATACTTGTAGCAGTTAACAGTTTATGTGTAAATTGAATTTTTACTACAAACTTAACTATAAGTACAAAATATGTCAACTACAAACACATAATCTAAATTTTATTTGAATCAAAGTTCACAATGCAACATATATCCTACTCCACGATATAATTTGCCTTATCTAACTCATTCTCCTTATCCTCGATCTCCACCTTTTCAATCCATATCTTTTTGTTTAGGCTTTTAATCAATTGCTATGGTAAGCAACATCAGTATAGCTTTGCTTTCTACCATGAATAATTGTTTAATTTAACTCCCACCCCCGGATAGTTATGTCATGGATCGGATCCACCTTACAAGGTAGATCCGGATTATATTCACAATTTTTGAACTTTTTATATTCACAATTTTAGAACTGAATATTTAAAACCAATGATTTTTTTTTTTTTTTAAAAAAAAAGAAATTATTAAAAACAACTCAACGAGTAAATATTCAATTATGTAATTGTGAATATAGAGTTCAAAAATTGTGAATATAGAGTTAAGCAATTTTGAATATTGAGCTCTGTAATTTTGTGTATTAAAATCTAAAATTGTGAATATTCAATTCTAATATTGTGAATATAAAGTTAAAAAATTGTGAATATAAAATTTGAAAATTGTAAATATAACTAAGATCCACCTTGCAAGGTGGACATGTGTCCACATCATAATTTGCCCCCACCCCCTCCCCCTCCCCCTCCCCCAACAAGCCTAAAGCTAAAGCACCCAAAACGCAGCATGTAAAGATCCAATATATATAAAGCTACGCTAGCTGATGACGACGACTTCTTGTTCCAATTGAATAAATTAAGCTAAGAATTTTGTGGAAAAAAATTATGAAATGTTTCTTAAATTAAAATATTAAACCCTTGTTTCCTATAGTAGATATTATAATTTAATAATAAAATTTGAGGTTGTTGTAATAATTGTTAAATAAGATATATTAAAGCTGTATTTTACCTAAAAAGAAAAAGATGAAACATAAAAAGCAGGTTTTCAATAGTATGGAAAAGCTTGTACGTGTATTTCCGTCACATTAAGATAAAAAGCAAATCCCACTAATAACCCAAAACTGCACTCCCTAGTCCCCTCCCATCTCCTTCTTCACTAAGTAAATTATATCATTGTGTGTGTGTATATATAATAGCATATTTGGTTGGTTGAAGCCACAACTATATATCACATGCACACAGATCATAGCTTGAATATATGTTGTTAGCATAGATTAGATCAGAGAAGAGATGATGAACGTTGATTGGGGACCCGTGGTGGTGGCGGTGGGGATGTTCATCCTATTATCACCGGGGTTGCTGTTCCAAATACCTGCCAGGACGAGGTGTATAGAATTTGGAAACATGTACACCAGTGGGGTCTCCATCCTAATTCATGCCATCTTATACTTCTGTATATACACCATCGTCATGGTCGCCATCGGTGTTCACATACGCTCCGGTTGATCTATATATGTATCTACATATATTCCAATTCCACCACCGGCCATATCGTCCTTTGCTTTTTCTAGCTTGGAATCCAGGTGTGTATATTCCTGTAAATAAATCAAAAGCAAACAGAAATCCAAACACCCTTTACAGTTACTACTTCCCTTCACAGATTAGTCCACAAGTAGTTATATTGCACAAAGCAAGTGTAATGATGAATTCATGTGCCATCATATCCATCAGTAATAATTCTGTCTCTTAAGCTTGTGTGCCAATGACTAACAGCTTATGAACATTTCGCAAAATACCCAAGTTGCAAACTGGTTATGAAAGAAACCAATATCAGAAGAAAATGTGAGGTGTATACCAAACAGGGGAAACAAGCCATATAAAATAGCAAACCACCCTTTCCATTTCTTAAGCATGCCAAAGTAATAAGTTACAGCCAAATTGTTTCCAATCAAATTCAACAGTCTGTTTCAGTCAAAATTGAATAAGCGCAAACAAGCAAAACAAACACATTGAAACAAGTATCTTCTGAATTCTAGAAGAATCTGAAGTTCCATATTGTTGTTCAGTTTTTTGAAACAATTTCCACCCTTCATGCATAGTTCAAGCGGAATATGTCATTGAACACATAGAAACTTCCTTGGGGTGTCGGCATCAAATGGAACATCTGTAAGCCAAAACAAAAGAGTCAGTTTGAATACAGAGACCTTCTAAAGAAATCTGCCATCATATAAACCACGTTGAAAGATGATAGAAAGACATGATTACCGCTCAAAGTTTATTGACAGCCCAAAAAAAAAAAACAAAAAAAGGAATGCTTAACAAGTCTGTTTGTAAATGAAATAATGTCATCATATAATCCTTCACTAATAATAAGGCATCTGTTTGTAAATGAAATAAAACATCCCATAACACCTTTGAATAAAAACATCTGTAAATAAGAAGAGTGCAGTATGGTTCTTATACTCAAAAAGGAGACATCTGTAAACATATTCCAGGCTAAAGGGTCAAAGGGGAAATCATCATCTCACTAATATTATCAACTTCTAATTTTTTTAGCATGTAATAGCGACCACTTGCTCACAAGTAACTTTGTTTCAGAACACCATATTACATTTTTGAGGTAGGAATCAGAGAATGAATACCCCACCCCTATGCCTCCCTTAACAAGAGTACAAGACAAGACTTCATAGCATTTAGATTTCAGATAACTGCATGGTTAGACTAGTTTTGAATCAAATTCCAATTCAAATGTTCCCGGCATGGCATAGACAGATCAATTGCATTTTCACTCTCTTCCAACGTCAAAACCAAAGCGTTTTTTAATAAAAATGAGCAAATAGTCATAGGATGTAGCTCACATTTTTTTTTGTGTGTGTAAGGATGTAGCACACATTGAAACAATGTATGTAAGTATGGTAGAAATACCTAAAATCTACTTCAGAATACATCTAATGCCCATCTAACAAAATCAAAATTTAGGGTAAAACATGAGTTTAGAATTAGGAGAGATCAATTAACTTCAAAATTGGCAACTACAAACGTTGCCCTAGTGTTTAGGGAGACATTTTTATCAGTAACTGATCTACAATCTGCATCCAAATAAAGATTTGATTGTCCTTCAATGTATCCAAAATTCAACAATAATCCAAAATCACGATAAAACACAGACAGTTTCAAATCAATCTAGGAACAATTGCATAACACAATCTGGGCGAAGAGGACTGAAAATAGATACCTGACTGAACTTGAGGGCGTGCTGTTCGCCGGCTAGTTGGAGATTGCCGCTGACAAAGACGAGCATGCCGCCGGCGGGTCCAGATGGCTGGCAGTCGACGGTGGTGATCTGGTGCTTGCACTGCTGAAAGGGGAGACTGGTTAGCTTGGCGACGATGTTCTGAGAACCCTGAATCTTCTGGCCCTCGAAAGTCAACATGGAGCCATCCTGGTAGAGGTTTGCAAGGCCGGCGCGATTGGCGTCGAAGGTGGAGTAGTAGTGCTCGACGAATGCCTTGGCTACGGCGTCAGGATCCATTTCTCCGATTTCGATCTCTTATCTCTCTTTCTCTCTCTCCTCTGCAAGTCAAACAATACGCTTAAGCCCCTCCCCCTTTATCACTCAGCGTTAGCTGCAACATTACGCTAAGCCTAGCCCGCGACTTCGTGCTAAACCCTAAGGCCTTGTTTGGTTCAGCTATGTTTTGTTGAAAACCTAATACTCTTTTGTCTTCATCTCATTAATGTAAGTTTGTTGGAGTTATTAATTATTATCTATATTCGCAAACAATCACAATTTCCCTTTGAAAAATTCACAATTTATATATTACAAACACACAATATTAACATATATATGCAATTGATTATCTTGTGTTGTATTTTCAAGTTCCTTTCAAATACTGCAATCACACAATATTAACAGATTAAGATTTGATGACCTTGTGTTGTATTTACAAATTCTCTTTCTACCGTTGTTATGTGTTTAGACTTTTGACTTAGAAACACAATCTATATCTATACTATTATTAAAAACAAAATCCTCCTTTTTGTTTTCTCGTCCAAACTCTTCCACTCAAACAATTAATAATTAATAATTAATAATTAATAATAATAATAATAATAATAAAATGAAAAATACAGAACTATAATGAAAAAAGGAAAAACAAAATCCTCATTTGTGTTTTCCCAAGAAGAAGAAGAAGAAGAATCTCTTCAACTTTTCCCGTTCAAACGTTTCTTAATATTAATTAATTAATTTATTGGTAAAATAATTAATAAAGCTTAATTTGTAACAAAATGTTATATAGAAATTAACTAATATCTATTAATTAATAATATTTTTTGAAAATTCTGCAAAAGAACGTAATCTATACTATTAATAAAAATAAAATCCTCCTAATCAATATTTTTGGCCAATATGAATATTATTAATTAATCTATACTATTAATAAAAGTAAAATCACCCCCTTCAACTTTTCATGCTCTAACGTTTCTTAATATTAATTAATTAATTTATTATTAAAAGAATTAATAAAGCTTAATTGGTAACAAAATGTTATATAAAAATTAACTAATATCTATTAATTGGTAATATTCTTTGGAAATTCTGCTTAATAATGTAATTTTATAAGGAAATAATTATTTATTAATTATTATGTAATTTTGTAAATAAATAATGATTTATTAATTTTTTTGAAAGCCAACAAACTTATACTGCATTAGTCATTCCAGGCTCAAGAAAAGAAGGGGGTAAATCCCTCCAGGTAGTTCGCACCAAAGAGTCAGTTACATGATTAGCCATGACATGGGCATCCTGTAATACACCCCTACGAACATGAATAACAACTCATCTAGTCATAGAAGACAACAAACGATTGCAAGCTAACAAAACATAACCAAAATAAGTACGAAATGAACTTGCATGCTTAAGACTAGAAACTAAGACAAGACTGTCGGAGCACACTGAGATCCTCGAGTATCCATTCTCCCTTAGCCATGATAAGGCCTCACACATCGCCATTGCTTCCGCCAAGAGGGGGTCATATGGGCAATTAAGAGGGCCATTCCCTGCCGCCACAAAAGTTCTATCTTTCTCATGCACTACAAAACCGTAAGCCGGCACCTGTGTCGGACCATTAAAGCCTGCATCGACATGACAGACCACACCATCATCTAGCATAGTTGCCGAACTGGGAGTATCATGGGCTCTGCACGTGATTCCCCTTTGCTGTTCCACTGTAGTCCAAGAAATCCACTTCACTGTGAACCTCCTGACCACCACACATGGCCTTGGCAAACAACCATTCCAAACTGCCTCATTCCTGACAGTCCAAATGTCATATAACAAGCCACAAATCCTCCCCCGTGCCTCAGCATTATAAGTACTCGTGATGCCAAGCCAAAGATCAGTCCATTGGCTGAAATTCCTGTTGTCAAAAGAAGGTATTAGCAGATGAGAGAAATTCCACACTTGTGATGCAAAAGGACAAGTACATAAAGCATGCATGATGTTCTCCTCCCCCACACCACACGCTGGGCATATATTAATCAACTCTACTCTTCTATTGAACAAATTATCAAGAGTGGGCAGAATGTTAGACAAAGCTCTCCACATAAATATCCTCCATCTTGGGGGACCTGTAAACTCCACAAATTACTCCATGCAGGCAAACATGGGCCGTTGACCTCTCCCATCCTCCTGTATCCATCTTTAACCGAGTAGCAACCCCTCAGATCCCTGTCCCAAAACCAGACATCATCACAATTCAAACTCACAGGAAGCTGCTTAATCAACATAACATCTCGTGGGGCAAACAACTCATCCAGCAGGTCATTATTCCACCCGTTCGTGGTACTATCAATCAAGTCCGAAACCAGAAGCTCCTGCCCCAAACCTGGATGGGTCGAGACTACATAGGGATCAACAGCATCGGGCAGCCACAGATGATTAATTACTCTGGTGGACCTTCCGTTACCAATCCTTCGCCTGCAACCAGCCTTTAGCAAAGCCTGACCTGCTAATATACTCCTCCACGCATAACTTGGGTTACCCCCAATTGAGGCTTCATAAAACGAGGATGTAGGATAGTACCTGGCCTTAACTACACGAGCCACAAAGGGACTCCGGATTGGTTAA